GTAAATTCTTGTGTTGTCATAACCACAGATCATATGGGATAAATAGAGTTCCGCATTTTAGCTATATTTCCGATATTCATTCAGAGATCTTGTATTTTAAAAACCAAAAACAAACATGCTGACTTTTAAGAGGCTTACTAAACTTCAAATTCATCCCAACAAAGAATAAATAACAGAGAGACAACGTACTGATCGGTGGTTATCGTTTCTGTAACCATTATAATAAAATACAAAATTTAAGACAAGATGAGGTACTTTAACTGAAAAATGGAAGAAAATGGTACAATACACAATAATTATTTATTCAAGAAACGATGTAACATCATGTGTACTTTACAATCTTAACCATTATTGTAATTTTAGAAAAGTGAAAACTATAGAGGGCGCGACCACAAATGCTCTCGTCGACACTCGTTGTCGGCACTGGTTGCCGTCGCGTTTACTTACAATCCGATAACATTTTTTTAGCAGATATATGTTTCCAAAGATAGTAATAATATTTACAAATAAACAAATAAACGATTACGAAAAAAAAAAACAAAACAAAAAAACAAAGAATGAATTTTCGTAAAAATAAACCATTAAATAAAATTGATGATAGCACATCATCATTTCGCTCTGTGTCTACTCGATTGCAAGAGAAAATTAGACAAAAATATAAACATATGTAAGGTAGTGGATATACATATTCACTCTAGCTTTCCTTGTACATTATGATTAATTTTACAATATTTATCGATACTTTCATTTGTAGGCTAATATTTTATAGACCTAATTGATAGACCTATAGAATGAAAGTACCGTACATTCTATTCGTAAAAACACAATTCCCAGCCTATGTCCCATCGAAAGAATCGTATTTTAAGTTACTAGCACGTAAATCGTTTCTTAAAATTGCATATTAGGGAGTTTTCGCAAGCTTACGAAAGCGATAACGAATACGGATACGTCATATTTTTTTAGAAAACCCTTCCTATAGGATATCTGTCACAAAGTAGTCTATTTATGCCTTTTGCATGATCAAGCATCATTCATATTCAGCTCGTACAACATATTGTCAAACTATTTTTGGGCACGAATGACGAAAATGATAATGAGGAGGATGATAATGATAATAATAATAATAACAATAACAATAACAATAACAATAATAATAATAATAATAATGTAGTTTTATATAGCGCACATATCCATCTAATGTAAGATGCTCAGCAGGGCGCTTGATATGTGGACTAGTAACTCGATCAATGACTTTCTTCACCCCTAAGAGTCCCTTCGTGTCTGTGCTACCCCGGTAACCCGGTACCACCACGCTATCGTTTTCGTAAGGTTGCGAAATCCCCAAAATAATTGTAAAATAATTTACGAACGTATCAATTCCATCAGACCAACAACATTCCCTCATTTTGTTTAAACATTTGCTACATTTCTCAGACCAAATATCTCAGTTTCTCGCCCGCCATTTGACGGTGCACACAAAGATTCGGTGGTAAACGCAGTTGAGTCTGCAGTCGTCTGCAGTGTTCGGGTAAGCGTAGTCTGCCTAAAGCTCTGCGTATCATGCTTTCGACACCACAAAATCGAGTCTACAGTCATCTTTCCGATATTACTACTGAAACATGTATACATATAGGGAGTAATAGAAAATCCAATGAATATCAAAAGAATGACAAAAACAAAGTAAAACATAATGTGAGAAAAACGCGGGTCTCCGGCAAACAGACGATAACTGTGAAAATAGACAAATGGCAACCAGAACAGAAACATAACTATTAAGTTGCAAACCATCATTTTTACAAACGATCTGTTCTCCTTTAAACGTTTCCCAATAACATCGTTGATATTTTTCCGACTTAATTTAACAATTACTAGTAAATAACAAACTATTGTAATGCCATTTGGAATAATAAGCATAGCAAACAAAAGATATGTGTAATAGATGACAGTAAACAAACTTGACATATCATTCAGATAAACACAATGTCGAGATCCTATCGTTATCAATGACTCAGAGGTTATACTTTCGTTGTCGAGTCGGACCGCCATTACAAGTACATCTGATTCAGTTATGGGTAACATTGAAAAACTGGCCAAGCAAAATAACCACATGCTTATGATTGCAAATAGAATTCGCCGATGAGAAACTAATCGCCTGAAGTTAAACGGATAGTAAATAGCAATGAAGCGTTCAGTTGCAATTGCAGCTGAAGTCCATACTGCGCATGCGCCCGAAATAGCAACTGAAAAACCAACTATTCCGCAAAAAAGACGGTTGATGATTATTCCTTTGGGATCAAGGTTGAATATCATAGTTAACGTTCTAACAGGAACATCGATCAATAAAACGAGAACATGGCAGACGGACAGGTGCCCAAAGAGTACGCGAGTCGAGAATTGTAACTGCCGCCCTCTACGCACGACATTCAGTACGCAAATGTTTCCGTATAATCCAAATGCAAAAATGGTAGAAAACAAAAAGGCACATAGCAATATAACTCCAAGTGTTGCCCAATTAGGGTTCACTTGATCAATAGATATGATCACGCCAGTTTGATTAACATCACCATAAGTAAAGATATTAGATTCCATATTGATGACGCGTGTGATAATGCATATTGCGTTACTTATAAGTATCCATTGCGTAACAGATGATAAATCTAAGTATAAATCCAAGCAGATATGCTACCATAGAAAAAGTAAACCCATGAATGACCGACCAGCACAAAATAATTAGGTTGTATTGCACGCGGCACTGATTCCAAACAATACAGACAATAGAACTTGTGAAGAATTCTCCGCAGTTTTTATACACTCTACGTGTTCTGTCTCGCCGGACACGACGTTTATGAATTCAGATACAAATACATTTTCGTTACATGTTGCGACACAAGTATTACAATCTCCATCACTTATTGTCACAACGTCTTCAAGTTCTTGGAAAATGTTGCTGAATAAGCCTCTACGCTAGAATATCTTGACAGGATTCGATCTGAAATGAAAATAATATATATATATATTACAATAATATATCAACCACCTTCATTGTTTGATTATTTATCGACTTCGAAAAGATTAAGGTAATGGACCCGGATGTATTAGACTAATTTGGTTGCACGACTCCTGCTGTAGGCCTAATCTTGTTCTACACGGTTTATACTTTAATAATTTAATACATGCTTAAACCATATGCATCATTTTTTTAAATCATGGTTCCATCGTGGAGGCTCTAAAAAGGGATAAATATGAGCTAACACACGCTCATTATTTCAAGGTTTACAATTAGTCGACGAATAGGAGTAACCATAGTAGTCATAACGCTGCATTCATACTGGATCCGAACTTTTGTATCGGAAACTATACCGAACTGATCAGAGGATCGCATGCATAATGTATGAATATAGGGGCGCTGGCTTTCGGAATCGCGGTCCGAATTTCTGTTCGGATCCAATGTGAATGCAGCTTTACTTCCACAGTTACCCTTGAACAGGTTGAGAGCTCGAATAAATAAAAAGGTACAACAATATTGTACCTTTTTAATTTATTTAATTAACCGAGTGTTGTATCTAGTGTTGTACAGAGGTTGAGGAAGACAAACAGAAGAAACATGTTAACTATTGCCACGTATACTTATACTCTCTGTAGGAAGCGGTCCGTCCGCGTGGCTCATCCGGTTTTGATATCGTTTGTAGGCCTATGCCAAATATGTCCTTTTGGTCTGACCAGGTCTGACTTTAAGCATCGAGGTTCGGTTTTTTTCTCCAAGTGTGTATGTCAGCACACACACCCACAGTCCCATACACCTACCACACGGACAGGATATTTTAAAAGGATTATGTGAAATTGACTACCGGTACCAAGCAAGTGAATTTTTTTTTTTTAAGTATTTGCAACTTTTTGCCCTTTCAAAATAATAATAGGCCTACTTCATGGAAATTTCAAAAAGGTTAATTAATTTGCTTCTTGAGCAACCAAGTTAGAATAGGGTCAGAATTGCATGAAGCAGAGGAACATTGATAAACACATTATATAGTCCAGTCTGAAATGTAGCAATATCAGAGTTTTTTTGCTATATTTTTTAAAATTTGGATATGATGTAGAGTAGACATTGATAAATCAAAAAAGTATGTGCAACATTTTTTTTTTCATACGTAAGGGGGGTTGCCAGCAGTTTCAAAATGGCCGCCATTTTTTCCTAAAATGTTCACTAATACTGTAAGTTTATCTCATTAAAATGCAGTATTCAATTGGAAATTCACTCATAACAATGACAACAACAGTTAACTAAATATTGTACACAGTTTTGAGCTATTACAATTTGAAATGGCTGCCATTTTCCATTATTTTAGCTTTTTAGCATACATATTAATATAATAATAACCGATCTGTGCTGTAAAACGAAAACGTGTGATAGAGCTAGTTATATGCAATTGCCATATGCTGGTATGGTTATTACCATAATATATATGTGATATATATATATATACACATATATAAATAAATAAATAAATATAT